TATAGTAGTTCAAAGTGCTAAATTTATAAAGCTTATCTGAGAGTTCAAAACAGGGGGTGGAGAGCTGAAATTACACACTGAAGAGCTCAGTAAGGAGAGCTCTGAGAGCCGATTGGAGGAAAGAGACACACCCCTCTCCATACAGCTCATAGGAACAGAGCTGAGGCAGTCCCTCCTTCTCACCATTTTTTTCTTGGTGTCAGGAAAACTGGCCAGAAGTGACTCATGCTGATAGAAGAGGAACAAATCTTTGGACAGAAATTACACTTCGTGCTCTGGATTGAGACAAGTACACATTATAGAGGGATATGCACTTTGTTCATATTTCATGTCTGAGGTTTACCCTGTCAGGGTTGTTTTAAGTTTTCTGCATTCCATTCCAAAAACAAATAAATAAAATACTGTAAAATTTGGCATTGTTTTCGGAATGGTCTGGGCGAACCTTAGCCAAAAGTACTCACTCAGACAGCGGTCCATAAGAATGCCCCTTAAGGTCTCGATGTCCCTTCCATAGAATCATGCTGGCCCTCGTTGGGTACTTGCCTTCCTGCTTTAAGAGAGCCTCCAAGATGTCAGGACCGGCGATATTGACCATGCGATAATTCGAAAAGGTAGACCCCCATATCGGTCCATACTTCTTTTTAAGTTGTGCCTGAAACAATGACCACAAAATGATGCGTTATACTTCGGCTTTAACTGTCCAGTGGTAGACCGAGGGTACCAGTGAGCCCAGTGTAGAATATCACAACACACACACGTTAGTGTTGAGGGCTAAGGGAGTAAAGAGGTTTGTCAGGATGGAAATATGGGAGCTGCTGATGCTGCCTTTGTTTTACATGCATCAGTCCCAATCCTAGCTTCAATACCCAAGCCTCCAGGATTCTGCATACAGTATCCCTGCTAAAGCCTAAATCTTTTGTCTGGTGCTCCAGACCATCCCGCAGCCCTGTGCTCATGTACAACCACTGTACTTCTCTCTCTCACAGCTCCCTGCTGCTCTGAGACTTCTGGGCAGGGGACCTCCTGTCTCCCAGGAGGAGCCCTGAGTTACTGCTAGGACCTTAATTGTAAATGTTGAGCATGCCTGCACACTCAGCCTGCTAATTTCCAGGCAAAGAACCAGGCAAAACTGTTAGAGGTTTATTTCCTCCTGACTCATCAAAACCTCTGGACTCCAGAACCCATATCCAGGAGTTACCAAGCTCAGAGAAAACTGAAAGAACACATTTTCTCTGCTCATAATGAATATTCTGGAGCCCCTTAACCTGCATTCATGAGAACTAGACATGTGCAGAACGAAAAAATTAGTTTAGTTTTTTTTCGGATCGATTTGTTAACCGCTTTCCCCCCACCCTATAGCAGATATACTGCCACAGGGTGGCATGGGTGCGCAAAATCACATATACATACATGTGATTTTGCATTTCCGGGTAGGGGGCGTGCGCCCTACCCACGCCGCCATTTGCATCTGTCAATCACCAGGTCCCGGCAGGTGATTACCTGCCAGCACCCGGCGACTACCGAGCATCTCCGATGGGGAGGACGACTGTTTTGCTAACAGTACTCCTCCCTGTCAGCTCAGGCACACTGCTCTGGATGGCTGTGCACAGCACAGCCATCCAGAGCAGTGTGATTACAGTGAAGCACACAGACACCGCTCCCTAGTAAAACACTCCCTGCACACAGTTAACCCTTTGATCGCCCCTCATGTTAACCCATTCCTGCCCAGTGCCATTAGTACAGTGTCAGTGCTTTTTTTTTTTTTTTTTTTTTTAGCATTGATCACTTTATTGGTGTTACTGTGGATGTCAGTGACACCAAGTCAGTTCCCCCCCAGTGTCACAATGTCCGCCGCAGTCCTGCTATAAGTCGCGGAATACCACCATCACTAGTAAAAAAAAAATAAAAATTCCAGTATCTATACCGCCAATTTGTAGACGCTATAACTTTCCCCTAAACTAAATTAATTTACACGTATTGGGATTTTTTTTTTAGCAAAGACATGTTGCAGAATACATTTTGGTGTAAATTTATGACAAATTAGATTTTTAAAAATATTTTACTGGACATGTTTAAAATAGCAAGAAGTCAAAAATATTGTTTTTTCTCAAAATTGTCATTTTTATTTTTCTTATAGCGCAATAAATAAAAACCGCACAGGCGATCAAAAACCACTGAAAGAAAGCTCTATTTGTGTGTGTGTGTGGGGGAGGGGGGAGAAAATTTCATTTGGGTGCAGTGTTGCATGACTGTGCAATTGTCAGTTAAAGTAACACAGTGCCGTAATGCTAAAAATGGCCTGGTCAGGAAGGGGGGGGGGGGGGTAAATCTTCTGGAGGGCAAATGGTTAAGTTACGAATTTTGTTTTGTTGCACTTGTGATGAAATTCATTTTGTTTATTCAATTTCAACCACATTTTATTTTTCCAATAGATCCAAAGAATTTGAATATTAAAATCAATCCAAATTCATTTTGCAGAACAGCTGGTTCTATTCTATTTGAAATTACAATTTCAGAAGATGGTTATATTCTATTGTATTATATTCTATTATCTATTCTGTTATTTTTCTATTCTGAACTGTTTTACTCTGTTCTTGTCTATTCTCTTTTTCAAATTTGAATTTCAGAAAACTGCTATAATGTACTTTTTTCTATTCTATTTATTTCTGTTTTATTCTATTTGACTATTCTTTTCTGGTATCAAAAGAGCTTTATTTAAAAGATGAACAAGATATGAAGTCATAAGAGATACATGACAAACAATGGCCCCCTGAGCGAGGACCGCTTGTATGGCACGGAAGGAGCAGCCAAGCTGATGTGCCTGGTAGCAGCAGCCATCCCGCAAGAGGTACAGGAGAGGATCTGAGTGAGTACACCCGCACCCCCTGGGAGGATAGGGGAAGAAGCACTCTGGTGGGAAACCAGATTCGCCCCCTACTTGTGACTGTTCATCTCAATTAAAAGGAACAGGAAACAGATCTCATGCTCAGGAAGAAAGTCTTCAGATTGCCAGGTGAAGAGGAGTTCATTTGGGGTGATACAACTAAGAGCTGCTGACTAGCACTCCAACAGAGACTGTTACTGGAGAAGAAACACTTGTGAATAGCTTCAGGACATTTGTCCTCGGTTATCGGTTCCCTTGGGCATCCTATACCCCCCTTACCCTATCCCAGTTCTAATCCCCTCAATAACAAAACAAAAAACATCAATACTGATGTACTGACGGCCGATCTCATTTCTTGAGGCCCAAAAATGTCAGGACAGTACAGATACCACTCAAATGATCCCTTTTTGGAAAGTTTGCAGCCGAAAAGGTATTTAGTAGGAGGCATGGTGAATTTTTTGAAGTTGTAATTTTTTTGTCATACATTTTTGGAAAATGAAGACATTGAAGAAAAAAAAAAAAAAAATTATTACAATATGAAAAAAAAAATGTATATATAGGCGCACCCTAAAAACCCATCTCTTCAGGGAAGCCTACCCCACCCTCTGCTAACTGCCGATCTCCTCCACTCCTCCTACCACTCCATCCCCCACAGCTTTTCCTCTTGTACCACAATCCCCTCCCTCCTAAATTGTAAACTCCAAGGAGCAGGGCCCTTGAACCCCTCGTGTATCACACTGTATTGTTATTGTACTGTCTCAGGTATTGTCTCCCATTGTAATGTACAGCGCTGAGCAAACTGTTGGCGCTATATAGAGAGAGAGAGAGAGAGAGAGAATGAATGAGAATATACACAGCCAAAATTGTAGCATTTCAAATACATGTCAATATATTTGGGAAGAATATTTTTAAAACTATATTTCAAATATATTTTTCTTCTATGTGGGCAAGTATACTGCAGACAAGTCCTTTGTTCTCTGTTTTGTTTTTTTTTTTGGAGGAACAGCATTTACAGTTCAGTTCTCTATGGGGTCTCTGTGCTCTGCTTTCCCCCTCCTTCTGTGCTCCTGTTGTGTTTATATTGGAGGGCAGAAGGCTAGCAGGCTGCCATGTCACTGCTGGGAGGGCGAGTTAAGTTACCAAACTGAGAAGCGTCATTTGCAACTTTTGAGGATGAATTACTCCACAGTGCCATCAACTACATAGTTCAGTAAAGGATTGTTGTAGAGCAGGCTTTACCAAAATGGTGGACTACAGTCCAAGTCCAGGCCGAGTCACTCTCCAGCCTGGACCGCCGCAGTCCTGCCATTTAGGAGCCAGTTGGTCCCCTCAGCTGTCGTCACCTCTGACATCGGGAGGCATGACAGTTCTGGTTGGGAGATGCCAAGTTAAGCAGCAGATGATTTGTTCCTAGGACACAGGGCGGTCCTAGCAACCAGTCACAAGCTGGTTAACAGGGGATGTGCAGCTCCGGGGGGGACTGAGAATATTGATGTATTAATGGGATTGTAATGTGAAAGATGAAGGATCTGAAGCTGTTGTGTGTGTGTGTAGGCAGCCTATTAATTTCAATGGGCTGCCTTACATGCAAAAAACGAAGTTCCTGACTCTATTTTAAATTGCGCCATGCCAAGCCACATGATGCAGCACCATGCGGTTTGGTGCGTACGAAAATGCGCTGCGTCTGCCGATGCACGGAGGTGCCTTTAGGAATCAAACACGCGATTCGGACCTTTGCAGGAATAAAGTTGTACTGACTGGATCTCCATGGATTTTAGCTCAATATCCCTGTTATAGACTTTATTTTAGTCTATTAGCCCACTAGGAGTAGTTTATATTATTCAAGACTTTCTGGGGTAGGGGATGGGGGCGGCACAAGCAGTTGTCCACGGGGGACAGAAAGTAGAAATGGGTCTGCAAATAATTTGTATGATTCCCTAGTGATTGGACTTTTTCCATGGAGCAATTGGCCCAGGAAATTAGCTTTTTTGCCTCAAACCAAAAATGATTATTTTCTGGCATGATGTGATTGAATGCACAACAAATCCCACTGAGAATTTTCTCATTTAACTAGTTGCCGACCGCAGATAGCCGAATGACGGCTTCACTGCGGCCGGCCAGTTCTGGGTGGACGTCATATGACGTCCCCCGAGAACGTGCTCTCCTGCGCGCCCCAGAGGGCGCGCACCCGGCGATCTCCGTGATCGCTGTGTCCTACGGACACAGCTGATCACGAGATGTGGTAAAAGGCCGATCATACCGGCCTTTTACCACGTGATCAGCGGTGTCCAATGACACGCTGATCACAGGGAAATGCAAGTGCCGGTTCTCGGCTGCACTTTCCTCACGCTGTCAGATCGTGAGGAAAGTACTGCCGAGAACCGGCAGTTGTCAGAGCGAGGATCGGCACCGATCATCAGGGCCACTGATGATCAGTGCCCTGATGATCGGTGCCCAGCAGTGCCACCCACAAGTTCCGCCCACCTGTGCCCAGCAGTGCACCCACCTGTGCCCAGCAATGCACCCACCTGTGCCACTCTGCAGTGCCACCTACCTGTGCCCAGAAGTGCCACCTACCTGTGCCCAGAAGTGCCACCCACCAGTGCCACCCACCTGTGCCCACCAGTGCCACCCACCTGTGCCCACCCACCAGTGCAGCCCAGCAGTGCTGCCAGTCAGTGCCACCAGTCAGTGCCCAGCGGTTGTGCCAGTCAGTGCCGCCAGTCAGTGCCCAGCAGTGATGCCAGTCAGTGCCATCTATCAGTACCCATCATCAGTGTCACCTATCAGTGCTGCATATTAGTGCCGCCTATCCGTGACACCTCATTAGTGCTGCCTATCAGTGCCGCCTATCCGTGCCACCTCATTAGTACTGCCTATCAGTGCCCTTTAGTGCTGCCTATCAGTGCCGCCTCATCAACGCACATCAGTGAAGGAGAAAAAATACCTGTTTGAAAAATTTTATAATAGAAACAAAGAAACTTTTTTTTTTTTTTTTCTAATTTTTTGCACTTTTTTTAATTTATAGCGCAAAAAGTAAAGCGCCCAGTGGCGATTAAATACCACCAAAAGAAAGCTCTATTTGTGAGAAAAAAATGATCAAAATTTCATATGGGTACAATGTTGCATGACCGCGCAATTGTCAAAGTGCGGCAGCGCTGAAAAAGCTGAAAATTGGCCTGGTAAGGAAGGGGGTATAAGTGCCTGGTAGGCAAGTGGTTAATAAAAATGACAACGGAAAAGTATTGCAACAGTATCATGGACTTTGATTTTTTCTTGTTTTACCCCTTAGCTAATATGTTACTGTCACATGTTTGTCAGATAAGATCAGAGGATTGCAGGTCAACTTCCACACTGTGATGATGCAATAGTCCAGTGTTTCTCAACCTTTTTTCAGTCAAGGAACCCTTTAAAATTATGGAGTCTTGAGGCTCCCCATTCTAAAATGTGAAAAAAACTATTCTAATGGTTTATAAAACGCAGTAACATCCACACATGTAGGACACCCAACATTAGAGGTAATTTATTCTTCCAAAGCAAATACACTTTTGCACACTGGTACTGACTAGTATTCCCATGTTTCTCTTCTCCCTCAGTTTTTCTCCATCACTGAGCTAATGTGACATCAGCACTGATGGAGAGGGGAAAAGGAGGGTCATACTAGGATGCTGTGCAGGTAGCTGACATCCTCGTTATCAACTGCTGATGTAATTGGTTGTCAGGAAGCCGGTGGCTAGAAGGTCGTAATGGTGCACAACGAAAACCTTTGGCTTTGTGTAACTAAATGCGGGCTTGTTCCACCCGCTGGCTTGTACACAAGTTTTGGGCAATTTTTAGACATTTTGGCAGGGCACCACTGAAGAAACCTCAAGGCACCTTGGTTGAGAAAGGCTATAATAGTCATTCACACAGAAAGGAAATGTCTGCTCCTTTGCTAGATTGTGAACCACATTCAGACATAGCACAGTGGGGTCTTTTTTATAAAGGCACCGAGTAGCTTTTTTGGGCAAATTTTGTCCTATTATAGCTTTTTAAAGCTTATTGATAAAAGAATGTTTGTTAGTTTTTGGTTTTCTAATGAAATCTAATAATTGCCCTCTTTCAGGCTTTGCATTTGCCTATTGTCCTCCAATAATTGGAATATTTGACAAATCTTAATGAAATAAAGCACATTAATAAAGAGGAGTACTTGAGAACAACATTTTTTGCATGTAGCAACCAACAGACATCTCAACTTTTGGAATTTGATAGAGAGTGTTGTGCCCACAATGGGCATGGATAACCTGCGCTGAATAGTGGACATGGCATTGAGGACATCATTGATCCTGGCCAAATCTCCAACTCCATTTTCAGAAATGCAGCCCCAAACTTGCAAAGGAACCTCCACCATGCTTCACGGTTGCCTGCAGGCACTCCTTATGCTCCCTTTCAGATGGACGTCCCGATGGGGTCTGCCTGCCCGTTTTTCAGGTAGACCCCATTCTCCTTTATGGGGCGGCGGGAGTGGCAGCTGTCACCTGCTGGCTCAGCAGGGATCAGCAGAGAGGTCCCCCGCTGAGCAAGCGGATCCACTAAACGGGACCGCCCCCGTACCAATCTTCACCCCTTCAAATAAACTGCCTCCTACAGCCAAATAATTCAGATTTTGACTCATCAGTCCAGAGCACCTGCTTCCAGTTTTTTGCACCCTAGGTTTTATGTTTTCCTGCATAGTGGAGTCACTTAGCCTTGTTCCCAAATCAAAGGTATGGCTTTTTGGCCGCGATTCTTCCATGAAGACCACTTCTGGCCAGACTTCTCCAGCCAATAGCCGGGTATACCTGGGTCCCACCAGTTGTGTGCTGATGACACTGCTGGACATCTTCCGATGTGGAAGGAAAGTAATCATGATGTGTCTTTCATCTACTTCATTCAGTATCCTTGGCCGACCACTGTGTCTACGGTCCTCAACATTGCCCAATCAATGGTGTCTTCAATGCTAGGAAATAAAGACAGGGAAGTGTGTGATTGGCCCCAAATTTATTCTGTAGCAGGACAACCATCCCACACATACAGCCAATGTCATTAAGAACTATCTTCAGTGTAAAGAAGAATGAGTCCTGAAAGTGATGGTTTGGCCCCCACAGAGTCCCTGACCTCAACATTATGGAGTCTGTCTGGGATGACATGAAGAGAAAGGATTTGAGGCGTCAACATCCACAGAAGATCTGTGCTTAGTTCTCCAAAATGTTTGGAACAACCTACCTACCAACCTTCAAAAACAGTTTCAGCCTTCCCTGGTAGTAGTTTTTGCATGTGCATGGGAAACCTTGCACATGCACAGATGGCCAGGGAAACCAATGCATGAGCAATGTGCCGTGCCTTTCAGGACCTGAGCACAGCAGCACTTCTACGCATATCTAGGGGGTGTTGAGAAATCCTCACCTGGGTGAGAATTGTGGAAGTGCTGCTTTGCAGCACAAACTTGATAAGTAAAAAAAAAAATCCATCTGTGAGGCACGGTTTACATTTTGTTGCACCGCATGCATAGGGTGGCCCATTCAATTCAATGGGCTGCCCTGCGTGCAGCAAAGAAGCTACTGTACTTTATTTGTTGGTATTGAGCTTTTTGCACTAGCTGCATTTAGTTATACATTAATGCACGAAGCGTGTGATTGTATACATGTTTGTGGAGGTTTAACCCAGGACACCAGTGCTCAATCTTACCTCTAGCTCGTGCATGTGAAATAGATAACCTCTCAGGAACACCCAGTAGATTAACTCCAGTTGGCTGGGTCCCGGCAAGTCATTGATGTTCTTTAGGCTACTCCTGTGTTCCGCTTTGGCTTCTGAGACCCCCAGAGATGCCATGCGCCTCGTGCCTCTCAGCTTGCATGGTGACAGCTGGATAGGATGCAGGACCCTGCTGATCTTGGAGATCATGGCACAGGGTTTGCTGGGTGTAGGGGAACAATCATTAAATGAAGCAGGATCCCTCCCACTGAATGGAGCAGGTAAGGCAGGTCATTTTCACACACCTGTCCTCACAAACCTGGTGCAACAGGTTCTGTGTTCTCAAATGTGAGCTTCAGGCCAAATGGGGAAAAAAAAAAAACTGTTCTATTGCATCACCAAAATCAAGAACATTTCAGATTATTATTGGCTGTCTCGGATGGTGTCGCTCCCGTTATCTGGGCAGTTCTGCACACTTGCACATTTATGGAGCTGTGTTATCTGTTTCTCTCCCCCCTTTGTAGAAGAGGACAACGCTACATAAACAATTAAAAGCAATGTATAGCGGCTTTACGTATAAGTCTTCATGCACATTTTACCCTTTGGACACCTTTTCTTCTTAAAGGAGAAAAACAGCTTAGAAACGTGGTAAAAGTTGCGTTTTTAACAAAAGCTTACGCTTTTGGTGTTAATGCTTTCTATGATCAGAATTGCACCCGCAACCACCCTCAGCCGCATCGCACTTCTCTTGCAAGATGCAGGGGTGGGGATGTCATTCATTCTGGCATCCCCATGCATCTCATTCCGAAGTGCGATCGCGGGAACCACACGGAAACTGCATGATCAAAAAGACCATGCAGTTTCTGTGTGGAAAAGGAAGGATCAATTGAAAGATCAATTGAAGGAAAGGATCTATCGACAAAAGGCAGGATCGGTCGACAAAAGGATCAAAGGGATCGATCGAAGGAAAAGGTTGACCGATCAAAGGAGTTTTCGAAGGAAGGGTTGGTCGGTTGATTGAAGGAAAGCTCCAAAAATCATAGAATAATCGAATCCTTTTGTGCAGCTATTATATGCCTTTTAACCCCGTGTACGTCAAAGATGAAGACATAAAAAAAAAAAATATATATAAAATTATACTCAAAACTTCCCTACCAAAAAAATATGATCATATACCACACACATACATACATATATATACACATACATACACTACGTACTATACTCGTACAATACATGTACACATATACACTGTGGTAAGAAGAAAAACAGACAAATATAAAAATTATATACACTGCTCAAAAAAATTAAAGGAACACACTGTTTTTCATCTCGTTTTGCATTTGGCTAGGGTCAGTGTCACTACTGGTAGCATGAGGCGCATACCTGGACCTTACAGAGGTTGCACAGGCAGTCCAACTCCTCCAGGATGGCACAATCAATACGTCCTATTGCCCAAAAGGTTTGCTGTGTCTCCCACCAACACAGAGCATGGAGGAGATTCCAGGAGACAGGCAGTTACTCTAGGAGAGCTGGACAGGGCCACAGAAGGTACTTAACCATCAGCAGGACACGGGTATCTGCTCTTTTGTGCGAGGAGGAACAGGATGAGCCCTGCCAGAGCCTACAAAATGACCTCCAGACAGGCCACTGGTGTGAAAGTCTTTGACCAAACAAATCAGAAACAGACTTCATGAGGGTGGCCTGAGGGACCCGACGTCCTCTAGTGGACACCTGTGCTCACTGCCCGGCACCATAGAGCTCGATTGGCATTTTCATTGAACACCAGATTTGGCAGGTCCACCACTGGCACCCTGTGCTTTTCACAGATGAGAGCAGGTTCACCCTGAGCACATGTGATAGACATGAAAGGGTTGGAGAAGCCGTGGAGAACGTTCTGCCGGCTGTAAACATCGTTCAGCATGACCGTTTTGGTGGTGGGTCAGTGATGGTCTGGAGAGGCATAGCAATGGAGGAACGTCTACAGGCTAGACAATGGCACCCTGACTGCCATTAGGTATTGGGATGAAATCCTTGGATTGTTGTCAGACACTACGCTGGTGCAGTGGGTCCTGGGGTTCCTCCTGGTGCACAACAACGCCCGGCCTCATGTGGTGAGGAGTATGCAGGCAATTTCCTGGAGGATGAAAGAAACTGATACCATTGAAATGGTCCCCACACTCGCCAGAACTAAA